AAAAAAAGTTAAAAAAAAAGGGGAGCTCAAACTGGGTACCAAATATGTACCCTCAGTCAACTGCCCACTCACTAAAGTGAAAATAAAGCAGGGCTCTATGGCCAAGGTACAGCATAAAGAAAAAATAGGACGATACAGAACAATCCACCAAAGGGGCCATATAACTGAGCCTCCGGGGCATAAATTGACAGGTTAATTAGTTATAAACAAAAAAAAAAAAAATAAAACTGAAAAAAATCTTTATTAAATTTACCAAAATCTATACCACTAAGGGGTGGCAGTGGACGTGGTATACTTGGATTTTGCAAAAGCGTTTGACAGTTTCCCACACACGGCTAATGTGTAAGGTAAAGTCTACGGGCTTGGAAAAACCTGTATGTAAATGGATAGAAAACTGGCTAAAAGACCATATTCAGAAAGTAGTGGTTAATGATTCATACTCTGAATGGTCTGGGGTCATCAGTGGTGTACCCCGGGGTTCAGTGTTGGGACCCTTACTTTGTAATATATTTATAAACGATATAGGGTCTGAGATTACAAATCCCATTTCAGTCTTTGCAGATCACACCAAGCTGTGCAGTGGAATAACGTCCTTACAGGATGTCTCCAACTTACAAGCCGACCTCAATGCACTGTTTAACCACTTCCATACTGGGCACTTTTACCCCTTCCTGCCCAGGCCAATTTTCAAATTTCATCACATTTTGAATGACAATTGCGCGGTCATGCAACACTGTACTCAAACTAAAATTTTATAATTTTGTTCACACAACTAGAGCTTTCTTTTGGTGGTATTTAATCACCACTGGGGTTTTTATTTTTTGCTAAATTAACAAAAAAAAAAACCCCAAAATTAAAAAAAAAAAAAAAAAAACACGTTTTTCTTTGTTTCTGTTATAAAAGTTTGCAAATAAATACATTGTTCTTCATAAATTTAGGCCAAAATGTATTCTGCTACATTTCTTTGGTGAAAATAACCCAAATTAGTATTTATTATGTAGTCTGTAGGAAAGTTATAGAGTTCACAAACTATGGGATAGATCTGAAAATTGATCAATCCTGAAGTACTGACAGCCAATCTAATATCTTGAGGCCCATGAATGTCAGGACAGTACAGATATCCCCCAAATGACCCCTTTTTGCAAAGTAGACAGTCCGGCATATTTCAGAAAAGGCATGGCGAGTTTTTTGAAGTTGTAATTTTTTTTTTTTTTTTTTTTACATACTGTCACCAGTGTAGTACAGCGTCATCATATTATAACTGGCGTGGTGGTGATCAGGGACACTGACTGGCGACAGTACAAAAAAAATTATTCTGTTTCAATTAAATTTTTTCTTTTTAAGACTTCTTTTTCATATTGCACTATGACCAAAGTAGTATAATGTTTGTTACCATAGTAACATTGTACTACTTTGGGGAAGTGATCAGTATTTTTTTTTTTTACTACACAATTTGTTTGCTTATAGTAAAGAATTTCTTTGCTATAAGCAAGCTTTTAACTGAATGAAATCGATTCATTCAGGTTTTTTTTTTTGTTGTTATTAGCACAGCGCGATCCGGAAAGGACGTCATATGACGCCCTCCCGGAAGCTTGAAGTGTTTAATTGAGCAACTATGTGGCAAATGAGGTTTAATGAAGATAAATGTAAGGTTATGCACTTGGGGGCTAAGAATATGCATGCATCAGACATAATGGGGGGGGGGAGGTACAACTGGGGGAATCAATGGTGGAGAAGGATCTGGGAGTTCTGGTAGATCACAAGCTTAATAATGGCATGCAATGCCAAGCTGCGGTTCATAAAGCGAGCAAAATCCTCTCTTGTATTAGAAGAGGTATAGACTCCAGAGAGAGATATCATATTACCCCTGTACAAATCATTAGTAACACCTCTTCTGGAATATGCAGTTCAGTTTTGGGCACCAATTCACAAAAAGAACATTGGGGAACTGGAGAAAGTACAGAGAAGGGCAACCAAACTGATAAGAGGCATGGAGGAGCTCAGCTATGAGGAAATATTAGAGGAACTGAATTTATTCTCTCTTGAGAAGAGGAGATTAAGGGGGAATATGATCAACATGTATAAATACATCAGTGGTTCATATAGTGAACTCGGTGTAGAGTTATTCACCCTGAGGTCATCACAGAGGACAAGGGGGCACTCTTTACATCTGGAGGAAAAGAAATGTAATCTTCAAACACGGAAAGGTTTCTTCACAGTAAGAGCTGTGAAAATGTGGAATAGACTCCCTCAAGAGTTGGTTCTGGCCAGCTCAGTGGATTTCTTTAAAAAAGGCCTGGATTGTTTCCTAGATACACAGAATATAACTGGATACTAACATTTATAGGTAAAGTTGATCCAGGGAATATCCGATTGCCTCTCGGGTGGTCAGGAAGGATTTTTTTTCCCTGCAGGAGCAAACTGGATCATGCTTTGCTGGGTTTTTTGCCTTCAACTGGATCAACTGTGGGTGTAAGATAACTGGTTTTTTTTTAATGGTTGAACTGCACGGACTTTTGTCTTTTTCCAGCCAGATTAACTATGTAACTATTATACAAAAATAATAATAAACCACCTTCCACCACCAAAAAAAAGAAGACGTTAGCTTAGTACCAAAGTGCTCTTTGGTACTAAAGCAATGTTGTCCTGTTTTTTTATGATGGTGGAAGGTGGTTTACAATTTTTTTTGTATAGATTTTGGCATATTTAATAAAGATTCTATTATTTTTGTGTATAACTAATTAACCTGTCAATTTATGCCCCGGAGGCTCAGTTATATGGCCCCTTTTGGTGGATTGTTCTGTATCTACCTGTTTTTTCTTTAAAAATCTAATATTGGTCTACCTGGCCAGGCTTCCCTATAAACAGATTTGTGTTGGCTACTGGAAGCACAAGTGTTTCTACCACTATAAGGAGTTTATAACCAGAAACTCATTGTCTAACATGCATCAATACACCCAAAATAAAATGCAGGTTTATCGAACACCTGAAATGTTGACATTTTCATGACAGTATGCACTGAAATAGAGAACCATGATATTGCAATGCTGCAAACAAAATGGCTGACCACATTAGACATTTTGGAAGATTCCCCTCTACTATTTTTATATAATGGCCAAGCATGGTGCTGCAGTTCACTTTTCCAGAAATGCGTACAGAAAAAGGAATGTGTCTAGGGAAAAAAAAAAATCTTGGAGGCTGGGTTACTTTCTAACAAAAAAAATAGCAGTCAACAATGGATTATCCGAAAACCATATTACCCTAACTGCCTTCACTGTGGTATATGGGTGAGATACAGAGATATGAAAAATGTATATCAGGAAATAGTGAGTTATTTCGGTTTTATCCCTTGGAGGTGTTTTGCTCCTTATTGCATTCATAAAATAGTCTTGAAGGTATGTTTGAAATGGTTCATTATTAAAAGTTAAATAAGTATGAGTAATGATACTTACATTCGGCTATTTTCTAGGTTTTCAGAATTAGGATCTCCTGGTGATCTGTAAAATAAACATCAGTGCTTATTCAGCAGCTGACTGGATACCTCACCTTGACAGCTGTAACTTTAACATTCCATTACATATTTCAAGTAGGGAAAAGCACTGACAAAACAAACAAGGGAAATTCAACACAACTTTGTAACTACCAGTGATGTCATAACATTTTTCCCAAACAGCAAAATTTAAAAAGGTCTTTATTGTCCTTCAAAATAGGTGCATATTAGAATACAAACTAAATTAGGAGAGGTTTTCTAAATTTGAAAGGATCCGTTTTTCTGTGTAATGACTAGAAACTGGTATGAAATCTTTTAATACAGAGAAATATTCCACAATCATTAACAGATCACCTTAGCAAAAAGCTATAGATGTTGAGAAAAGACTGCAATGACTTCTGTAGGTTCTGCAGCCTATTGTTAGTTGTCCGCTACACTTCTACGCAATCAGTTGGAAGTAAAATGTGCGTGGAACCTTTTACTCTCAGTTATTCTTCCCTATTTTAATACTCTTTTGATGATCTCCAGAAAACTTCATACAGCTATACTTCCAAGAAAAGGGAACTAAGGACCCACATTCACCACTGGTTGCACTGATCAAGAGCTCTTTCACATTTGCGTGGTAAAGAGCAAAGGTGAAAAAAACCTGTGGTTTTCAAAGTGTGGAAATAAAGAGCACTTATTATGGCATTACCCTCATAGCAATCTCCAACTACTGCATACAAGAGTTTGTCAGTAAGCCATGTAGTACACTGCTGGGCCATTACTCAGTTCACTTACACAAAATATTTGACTTGTTCATAAGCACCTTCCATCCAGCTATTGACCCTAGAGTAGACTTTTATATAAAGTGTTAACTAGTTGATATCAGAGCAAGTTGCAATGAAACTGTGGCTTCTATTGTCTTTTCTGCAGTTGTGCCTTTATTTTTAAATCAAATTCTATTATGCAAACAGTTTTTTTCAGTTACATTTAACCACTTCCAGTCCGAATACTTTTACCCCCTTCCTGCCCAGGGCAATTTTCAGCTTTCAGCGCTATCACACTTTGAATGACAATTGCGCGGTCATGCAACACTGTACCCATATGAATTTTTTACCATTTTTTTGAGACAGATAAAACTTTATTTTGGTGGTATTTACTCATCGCTGGGATTTAATTTTTTTTGCTATGTAAATGAAAATGTCCAAACATTTTGAAAAAAAGTGTTTTTCTTATAAAATTTTGCAAATAAATAATATTTCATCATAAATCTTGGCCAAAACTTATTCCGTTAACTTTTTAGTACAAAAAAAAAAATAGCCAAATTAGTTTATAACCAAAAATTATAATTTTTAAACATTTATTTTTTTTACATACTGTCACCCTAGCAGTACAGTGTCACCATGGGGACATTGTACTACTTTTGGGGGGGGTGATGATTTATTTATTTTTTTTTACACTGATTGCTTTTACACCCATATAGGATGTAAAAGCAATCATTTCTTTCTCTCTGTCTGCATTCTTGCAGCTATTGAGAACTACTGAGTGAGCTGTGATTGGTCACAGCATGTCACATGGTACAAGGCTGTTGTGAATAGCCTTGTACCATGTGACCTCTGATCATTCACAGATTTCACACGTAGTAAGCAATGATGTCACAAGTGACATCTTGCTTACTACTTTGCATGTGATCACTGATTGGCCAATCAGTGATCACATGATCGGGACCTCGTACAGAGGTCCCGTCCGACGATCGGTGTTTCACTGTATCCGGAGGACACAGCGGGCACCGGACTACGGTGCTGCACGCTCCCGGGGAGCGCGCACAACCAGGGTGTGGGGAGGCCGTTTATAAACGGCCACCTGACCCTGCACTGCCACCATCCGGCCGTTTATATACAACGGCCGGTCGGGAGGTGGTTAAAGAAGAACTCCATGAAATTTTTTTTTCTCCCCTGCAGTGGGGTTGCGTCTGCACTGCATGGGTTGTCATGTTTAGGGTCGCCCCGAAAGGCTATATTTACTTGATCCTACGGAAAACTGCGCTCCTCCACGTCCAGCGATGGACTGTTCCTGCCGTCCTCTCGTCTGCAGCCAGTCTATGGGTGCGATGACTCCAGAGGAGGTATGCGGGGAGGGAAAGGAGCAATGGGGACTGGTTATGCACTCAGAGGATTGGCAGATTGGGTAACTATATCTCCGCTCTGCAAATTTGGTCAATTCCTGCTAAACCGGCCAGATCTCTGTAAGTGTGTACCCAGATTTAGACCTTGTTCACTGACTTGGAGAGAAGTCTGCATAGCAAGATTTTGCAAGGCTTTCAGCAAATATAGAGAAGTTTTATTGAAGCCTTTAAAAATCTCTTCATTTTGAGAATGTTAAACACAGAGATCTTAATGGAAGTGTTGACTGTCACTTTTACCAAGATTTAGCAGGTTTTTTTTTTTTTTCTTAGCAAGCTTCAAATAGTGCTGAAGCTTACCAAAGTCTGCTAGCAGCTTGTTTGAAGTGACAGTCCACACTCTATTAAGATCTGTGTGGTAACATTCCCAAACTGGAGCAAAATGGCACCTAAAAGAGGACTTTTGCCTGTTAGATGAACTAAGCATCACTGCTCTCCACAATCTAAAACAGCAAATTGTTTTTTTTTCTCTACTTGTCTAATTTTTGCCCACCCCACCACCATTCTGCCTAAGAAGAATGCTGTCTCTTCCACTCTGAAGCCTTCTTAGATATTCATGTCACATATCCCAAGATGCTTCAAGTTCATGGAAGATGGCAGTGCCAAGGGGATTGTCATCAGGGGGCCAGGCTGAATGAACTAGGAGAAGGTAGCCAGCACCCAATTATGTCAGACATGAAGACACCAGCATAGGACCTGGCTTTTGACAGCAGTGTGGTGGATCACAGAAGGGCAATGCTGAATTTGCTGACCATTTGAATTTGTGAATTGTGTGTATTACAGCCAATAAAGGAAAGGAAGCGGGGAAGAGAGTGAAGTTCCTCATTAAAATCTATAAAAGCTTGTCAAAAATGATGCAAATACTTTCTAAAGATTTGCTGGACACACTTCTGTCATACAAGCTGAAGCCTGTGTGAACTGTTTTAGCCATTCCAAATTTTTAACAGTGTACTATCTACCCTTTTTAGAGTCCTATACCAATTTAACAGTCAATTTTGCTCTTATGCACTTTTTATGTTTCAAAGATCAGAATTTTAAATCTCTAAAGCCCGCAGGCTGCACAAGCCCAAGCAGATATGGAGATGATGCAGTCTTCAAAGGCCTATGCCACTTGTTTGACATAACACCTTAGGGTCAATGTAGATAGGCAAGAAGGTAGGGCAGTCAGTGTGTTTTTCCAACTTGATTGACAAAAAGAGTGCCTAAACCATGGTGGATGCACAGTGCAGTGTCCATTAGCACTGAAGCTGCATTATCCATGTTTAGAAGAAAGCTAAGCCGTAGCATGAGTTGGAAAAACCAAACAAGCACCAAAGGCATTGAAGAACCCTGTGCTTAAATTTAAGAACACCAACATTGCCTACAGAAGTTCAGGGATAGGTGCATTATAGAAAATGAGACGCTAACTGACTAATTTGCCAACTAAGCTCATTTATGAGAATCTATAACAAATTATAGGCTTCTACTAGTGATACAGAATCGAGGTGATGTCATCCTCCCCTAGGCAAGGAACGTGGAAGTGGCAGAAAGTACCTGCTGGAAAAGGCACTTACTACCCCAAATAAATAAAATTAACATCACCAAATCAGTCAAAAGGAGTTGGAAGAGTTAGGAATCTGCACTGGGTAAGATGCAAGTGAAGGTTTGGTTTAATAAGTTTAGCATTACAATTAGGAGCCTATGTACAGTAAAACAGTGTCAAAATGTGCTTTAGACCCTTTGGTCAGTGAAAATCTAACGTACTATATCAGGAGACTCCTGCTTTTGACAAATTGCACACTTGCATGCCTCCAAAGTAAACTGATACAGATGTGACATGGCAATGACTCCACACTTACTACCAATCCCGGCATGACAGCTGACATCTGCGATGGCCTGACTACTGACCAGCACAGTTCATAACAGTATGCAGCGCTGCTTTGATCCAACTGCTTATCTTTTAAGGAAACGTGGAAATCCTTTTATTGAAAATAACAGGGATGATACAACAGGAAAAGTTATTAAAAAAATGGGTAATACAGCTACACCTATTCACTTTAATCATTACCCTGAAAGTTGTATACAGGCAGGAAATGTCTGTTTCCATCACAATTGTCTCAGACAGGTATTCTAAATTAAAGTATATTTCTCCTGTGGAAATATACAGGCCAGTGCAGGCCTCCTTCTGAAAATGCTTTTTGTCTGGCTGCAATACCTTTCAGAACAAGCATGCTGTAATCCAGTGATAGAAGTGTGTCAAAACTCCTTATATCTATAGCTGTTGTGGGGCATTAACTCAGACAGCACTAAAATCAGGGAATTCACATTCTCAAAAAAGGAGAGGGCAGCAATGGCATCCTACATAATTCTCCATTTTAGGTATTAAAAAAAAAAAAATCAAAAGCATATTACTGACAAACATGATTGATATTCGTGAATTTTGAGTTGAAGGCTACATTCACACTGATCAGCCGCAAAAATGCATAGGCATTTTTTATAGGACACGTGACTTAAAAGTGCACCAAAAATTCTTCTTGGAGGCATTTTTCAGGCGTTTTTTCGGGGTGTTTTTTTTTTTTTTTTTTAACTCCCCAAACGATGCTGCAAGCAGGGGTTTTTACACCGCAATTGCGGTGCGAAAACATACATAGATATACATTCACATGCACAGGGAAGCAGTTTTCTTGAGCTTTTCAGGCACTTTTTTTCACGCAAAAATGCTTGAAAAACTCCTCAGTGTGACAGTAGCCCAATTTTCTTCTTTCTCTAATACTCTAAACATTCAGCTTCTTGCCCCTATGGCAGGCAAACCATGGGACACAGAGAAAATAAACAGGAATCAATGAACATAGTTCATACCATGGTGCTGCAGTGCCGCATGTCTAATCCACAACTGTACACACTGCTTTCCAATGATGCCAGCACATGCCAAGGATTATAGAAATACGCTCAATGCATGCCACTAAAATTTAATACCGTACATGCGTTTATATCTTCCTTTCCTTTGAAGCACGATCTGTGTTCAGATCATGCTTTAGAGGCTACTGACAGGCGGTGAGGAAGAGATGCGACGCCTCCTCACCACTTTACCACTGTTCCGCAACCACATGCATTACACGTGGCTGAGAGCCATTTGTGCCCCTTCTCCATTTACTTAAATTTGTTGTGTTCGGTGGGCTTGCCACCCGATTGCTACATGTTGGGTAAACTTTGCCGCAAAGCATGTAAACACCCCCATCCACTATCTACTGCAGCTTAAGGGGAGAGGTTGGTATTCAGCAAAAACATGGCTAACTTGCGCAATTTTGCTGCCTCCCCAACCGCACACCTAAGAAGAACTTGCCTCCCCCTATGTTTTCTCTTTTTAAACTACTCTTATCTTTTAAGCTGAGTTATCCTCAAAAAACATACTTATCCACCCAGCAAATTGAGATTTGTGATCCAACAATCTGCAGCTGCAAACCAGACCCCACATCAGCATCTCTGTGACATCGTTGGGAGCCAGCTATCTCTCCCTGATTCAAGAAACCAGCACTTTCAGGTCCACTGCCCTCCAGCTGCTGTATTGAAGCTGATGCCCCTGAGATATGCGACATGCATATTCCAGGTGGCTTAAAGGAGCACAGGAGAGGTCATTCTTGCTTAGATGAGAAAGGAGACTGGGATCAGGCCACATTGTAACAAAAACAATAAAAAAAAAAAAAAAAAAAAAAAACAAAACACGATTTTATATTGCGGTGGGGGCATGCTATAGTGGAGGATTCCACTAGTATAAAGTGTACTATTGAAGTGAAGGTCCACTTTGAGTTGAAAGCAGTTCAATACCCAAAAATTTAAATATATGTGGAAACAACTTAAAAACATGTTTGCTAGTTTAATTTCAGTGTTTTAATACCAAACAAGCGCACTAAATGCTAAATTTATCTGATTCCACATTCAGTGATGGACATTTCAAGCTGACATAATGATATCACTGGATAATTCTAAGTGTCAGGCACACCCCGAAAGCATGATGGAGGCCCTTACTGGACGTCCCTAACATTAGTAAGAGTACATTTACCACAATGTTCATAGCAATCTGTTGATTATGTCAGAAATTCAGAGCTGTCCAGTGCACCCTTCTTGTGTTATCTCAAGAAATAGAATCATGAACAAAATATTTAGTGCCTAGGTTAATAAGATTGTGGTGGGTTTATGCAGTTTAGAAAAACTACAGTTGGGAAGGGCTGACATTGCTCAATCCACAAAAATGTGGTGTGGTGTCAGAACAGGACCTAGTGTCAGAGTGCTTTTATGGCAGAACACCACATTTCCCCTTACTTGCAGGGTCAAAACATGGATAAGCATGCATGTATTTCAGAGATCTCATTACGATTAAAAGAAAAACATTTTTAAAAAAGGAAGGGGATTGCACATCTCCTGGAAAAGTCTGTCCCATGGTACAAAGTACTTCACCAAAGGAGGAAATGGA